CTGTACACTACAAACATGAGCATCAGATTTTAGACTAACGGTAAGATGCATTGCTGATGTCAATATTGATTTCAGCTGTGAAAAGGAAACACTAATCCTGGGATAAATGTATATTTATTGATTTTGTATGTTTTATCATGTCGATGTTTTAAGATTTTTCTGTGAACCAGATATACAGAAACATAAAGGAGTTAAAAACAATGTTTTGTAGAATACATCCTTTTTATTTTCAATAAACTTGTTTATGAACATTTGTTTCCTCCTTCAATACTGATATACAAAGGCGCGACACCGTTTGATCGATAGGAGGGAGCATTCTTGTTTAATATGAGGCTTATTAATAAAACTTTCCTGCGTTTTTTTAAGCATTACTTGCAAATTCAGTTGAGCCCAAAGGTTTAATGAAAGAAAAAAAATTGTTTTTCTTTGTTTTGTTTTTTTACAAACCGTACTGCTCATTTGATCATAGCTTTTCCAATTTTATTCATAGGGTTTAGTAATAAATATTTTGGCAGTTTAAATTTCTCGTTGAGAAAAGTACAAATTTAATTCAAAAATACTTAATTTATCCCAAAGGGAGATTAAATAAATGTATGCAAAGGGCCAATAGGATCTCTATGGATATGTACAATTAGGGTTGTTTCAATACTCTCCTGAATAATCAAAGATTTTATCCACATTTCACTTCATATTTAGTTTAGAATTGTGGCATGTTGCTTAAAAAAAACTTTAAATTCTTGGAGCTTTTTTAATTATTTCATTATTTGCTGGGGGGTGAGGTTTAAAGTTTAAATCAAGCCCCGCTGTAAAAGTTTCCACTTAAAACACAACTGCTTACTATGTCATCTTTAGCAGGTGGCCCTTGCTGGGTTTCCTTAAGCTTTCATCCACACAGTTGAAGCTTTCGTCACGAAGTTCCTTATATTTTTTTTTTTTTTGGATGCTATTCTACAAGATAAAGACCTATAAAGAACTGCCAGTCCAAAGGTAAGGCAGAGGCAGAGTTTCTATTCTGGATACCTACAATAAAAAAAAAAAAGATTTTAATCTGACTTTCTGTTGCTCATCAAATATAGTTTGTGCAGTGAAGATAATGCAGCTCATGCATGTCTGCTGTGTCACGTTTGCTTGCTTGAGTGAGG